GATGTTCTATTTCAAAGTTGCCGAAATCTCATTGCGGTATGGGGTCAAACAAATGACTATATCTCCGCAAGTATTGCATCAGCAAACATAACACTTATCCAAAGTTCATTGGGGATGCGTGTGCATGTTCACACCAAATTTCATCAAAATTCATGATGGTCAACCTGGGAGCCTCAGACCATTTGACATGGAATGGCCCTGATACATTGTGTTCGGAAATTTATGCATTTCAGATATCACAATCCCCAAAAAAGCTAGCTTCCAAAACTGGGAGGGAAACAGAGCTAATCTGATAATTCCTGAACACAGATGTCAGGGGAAGTAAGCATAAAAGTGATGAATTGTGTCATGATACAAAAAAAGCATAAATATTTGAATCAGATGGGTTACAGTTTGTGCCATGACATTACTACATGCATATTATCATTTTGATGCAGTTGTGGTTTGCTGGGATGCTTATTCTGGAAAGGGGGAACAAGAGGGTCAGGACTGATTAAAGATGCCACCCCTTTTCTGCATAACATATATTATGCCACACACAAAAGGGCCATGATAGGACAACCCTGCTTTTGTCATTCTGACAAAAGTAGGATAATCCTGCGGACCCTACTATGATTTTTTAAAATAGATACAACTTTCAATTTATTACTAGGACTTTAATATGTAACACTCTATGTTCTGTAATTCTTTTACTATAGACTGGAGTAGAACTGCTACTAATGGTTTAAGGATGCAGAATATTAATCAAGCTGTATCCAATTCTTCACATTCTTTACAATCCAACAGTAACTCTACTAATTCCACATCGATGCTAATGAGCAATGATTATTCTGTGCAATCAAATGGTAATGGTATGTATGTTAAAAGTATTCTTTATGAGCAATAATGTTTAATGTAGGCAGTACAAAATAAGAGAGATTGAAGAATGGATCAATTGTTATGTGATAGGACTAGATTAAAATCCTTGTAAGGCCAAACCATTTTTATATTATAGAATGCATTTTTGTAAGGGTATTAAATTTTATGGGTATTTTTTTAAAATACAAAACATCTATATTATTGTGATATGTTCACCAAAATGCATTATGGTATGTTGGCTACTACTATGTGCTGCCACAATATTTAGCATGGTTAATATAGTAGGACAGTATTTTGAGTTTGAAAGCAACAAGACTGCTTGAAGCATGCAGGGGTGTAATACCTGCCTACAACCCCTTAATCCAAATGCATGCTTCCTAGAAATAGGCAGTGGGAAAGAGGGAATTGCTTTAAGGGGTTGTAGAAAAGTACATGTATGCCTCCATGTCCTCTAGAGTGCCTTTGCCACATTTGACTTTGAAACGTTGTTCAGCCCTAATTAACATTTATTACAGGGAAAAATATGGCCTTTTTCATAGGCTGTTTAGTTTTAGTAATCAATAGACAAGGGGTTTTTTATTGGACAACTGTTCAGAGTCATTGTGAGTCAGGGACAAAAATTTAATAAATATAAATAAATAAAAATCCGGAAAGTGAGATTAGCATCCTAACAAGTACTTAGGGAGTTATGGGAAAGGCCTCTCCAGGAGTTAATTGAGGGTACCTATGACATCACAGGAAAACAGAACTGAGGCCCAGTGCTGCATCATAATAAACTTTTTTCTTTTAATTTTATATTTCAGAAAATATATCTCGGGGGAAAAATGGTGTTTCTTTCCATGTAAAGAATAGTGATGTGCAGCTTCCTGAGTTTTTAGTAAAACAGCAAGTCTTTCATGAAAATGATATATCCCACAAAAAGTCTTGCATTTCACTGAGAAGGACTTCCCAAAAAAAGACCCTGCAATTTATGGAACCATTATGACTTTTAAAATATTTCCATTATTTTACCAAGTAATATACAGGTTTATTTTAACTGTTACACATAATGTGAGAAAAAGAAAGTCATTAATGAACAGGAGCAAAACTTCAACTATTTCCCCTTTTAATACAATTGATAGATATTAAAAATAGCTTTATGGATGCAAAACATGAACAACTGCTTATTTGCTCCTTCCCTACTCCAAAATTTGAGTTGCAAAAGTTTTTTATATACTTGACTGAGTTACAAATAGCTCAAACTACAATGCAATAATGCTATGTTAAAACAGATACAAATAAGCTAAAGTCTGAAAAAGATGCAAATACTGACTTTCTGAATAATGTGCATGGCATTATAACTTCCTTTTATCAGGATGTGATCACAGACATTATATTTTTATATAGAGAAAGCTATCTGTCTTTTGATTATCCAATAAATTTATATTTATTTCCAATTAACTGTTAATATTATTTTGTATAAAAATAAGCCTGTCCTTTTGAAGTTTTACTGTAATTATTGTACAAACATGAATTGCTTTATTATTCTTGCATACAACCATTTGTAGCTGTATCTGTAAATAACTTTAAAATGGTGAAGTTAAATAAACAATCTAACTGTAAATATGAGTTATGCAACAATGAAAACTGTTTGCTTTATTGTTTGTCAGTATTACAACTTCCTTATGAAAAGCTTGACGGGGAGGGGGGACAGAGAACTATGGTTTTTAAGAAGATAAATGGAAAATGTACAAAGTATTTCGGTACAGAATACTGTCACGTTATTAAAATGAAACCAATCTGGGTTGAAGATTGAAACAAATACTTCAGGTAATGCCACACCTACAAGTATATCATTACATTTTCCAAAGGGAGAAAACAAGGAGAAATTGGTTTCTTAATGATCATTTGAGAAGGACTGAGATTTATAGTTTGGATTTTGGATTTGGATTTAACTTTATTTGTATGCCGCCCTTTTCCCTGAGGGGACTCAAGGCGGCTCACAATTC